TCCGACGAATATTCCGGCGACCTCCCAAAAACCGTTCCGATGACCGCTCACTTTTTCGGCGACTATCTTTTTTTTTTTTTCCATTTCTGGCAATAACCTATGACTAATTCCATTGGATCTATGACCTGTTGTGATCTGTGACCAGTTTTATTGAATCGGTGACCTAATCAAGGTGAGATGAATATGCATATAATCAATTTCAAAATTAAGAAAATAAAGTTTGAAATTTCAAAATTCAAATACAATTAAAATTTTAGTTATGAAATAATTAATCAAAAAAATATTTTTGTAACTAAATCTATTAAATTCACAATTTTTTTTCTTTGTCTGGGTAATATGTGATTTGTGTACATTGTGACATATAAAACACAAATTTTAACCCGTAATTTGTTATCTATGACTTGTAACACAATATGTGATCTATCAATTTGATCCGCGACTTCTACAAAAGAACATGTGACCTGTTAATATTAATTTGTGACCCGTTTATACTGATTTGTGACTTGTATAAAATGACTGTGACTTGTGAACTCAAACTTTTGAACATTGAACTGTGACCTTAACGGCGAATTGTGACCCGTAACGTATGAACTGTGACCTTATGTGTTCATGGCCAAATTTGTATTTGGTGTGACTGTCTGTGACCATGTTAGTCTAATTTGTCACTATATGTAACCAAGTCACATACGGTCGTAGTTATCACAAATTTGATCACAGACAATCACAATGAAGATAGATAAACATAATTGTCAATTTACACCACGCACAGATCTACACACCAGCACACAGATTTATGCATGCCACGCACTGACGCACACCAGATTATTCTCACTACCAACAAAACCACCACCATCGACCATTATCGGATGTAGCTTTCTTACTCTATATACAAATCAGAACCACCAATAGTTCGTCGGCTATAGAATCACCACCATCAACCATCACTAGAGGCACGCAGATCAGAACCACCATCAACCATCAGAAACACAAATCTTGACCACCAACGGATCCAACACCACCAACCATCACCGGCTACAACTTTCTTACTCTACACACAAATCAGAACCACCAATATTTTGTCTACTATGAAAGCCTTACTACCTTCGCTGGCTGTACGGAGAGCAGATCCACCATTAGAAACATAGATCAAAACCACCATCAGCCTTCTTACTCTACCCGCAGATTAGAACCACGATAACCAGAATCGGAGGAGGAGGTTGTACTACACTGGCGGAGCCATAATCGACAAAGGAGGCTGTACAACTTTTTTCAACCGGACTCTGGACCTGAATTGGAACGTCAACGAGTGTTTTAGGAGAATCCGATTTCAAACTCAGATTGGGTGTGGGCGGAGGTATCACGAACACAGTGTACGGCCCGATCTTCCCGATTCTCGACGGCGGCATCCTTTCACTCTTGATCAACATCTTTATTTAATTAATTAACAAAAAATAATTAAATTTCCTTTTACTTCACCTTTTCTCTTTGTGAAAATGGCATGTGGAACAAGAGAAATTGGTTGTGTTCGCGGTGGTGATAGTTGTGATTTTGGCTACAATGGTGAAGAGCGAGGCGGTACCGGAGGTGTGGCGATGGTGGTGCTTCCTAGCGTTGGCTAGAGAGAGGAAAGGTGGGATAGAGAGAGGAGAGAAAATGGGAATGGATGAAAATATTAGGGGGTGTTCTCTTTGTATTTCAGTTTTGTGTTTTGAGTTTTGAATTCATTTTGAGTTTTGTATTTTGAGTTTTTGTTTTGAAATTGTTGAAAATGCGTTCTTTTTGTTAGTTTCTCAAAACAAAAAAAAATAATTTTTTTTTTTAAAATTTTGAGAATCACTACAACACCACCTCAAAACACCAAAAAAAAAAAAAAAAAAATTAATTTTTATTTTTTTTTTTTTGAAATTTTGAGAATCACCACACCACCTCCTCAAAAAAAAAAAAAAAAAAAAAGAAGTGTTTCCCGCGTTTTCAATTTTTTCAAGTTTTACACTGAAAACGCCCAAAACGACAAAAAAGTCGTTTTGTGTTTTCTTCACAAATTTTTTTCGTTTTCGAAAACGTTTTCGAAAACGGGAAAGAGAACACGTTTTCACCGTTTTGAAAAATCGAAAACAGAAAACGACCCGAAAACGGTAAAGAGAACAGGGCCTTAGGGTTTTGGTGTGGGTAGTTGGGTATGAATTAGGTGGGATGAATATGTATATTTAATGTTGTGACTACATGTTTATAAGTTTTAATTTGTAAAATTTAATTAGCACCTGATTTGTGAAAATGAATCTTAATCCCTTGTTTTTTGCAAATTAATCTTTAAATGTTGGTTTCTAGGTAATTTTTCCATTTCTTAAACTACTTCCAATGGTCCACATTATTTTTGGGTCGAGCTTTTAGACTTGATCGTTGGTAATCAATTCATCATGAGTCAAGACCTGTGAAAATATATTTCGACGTTTAAATTATTGCCCAAAATTTATTTGATATCAAAAACTCAATAGGATGATTAATGGAGATACGTGACAAACTTTATCAATTGTTCTATATAATTTAACATATAAAAAATGATAACTAAGAAAAAAGCTAGAACGACTACTAACAAAATGATCTTTGACGAGAGTAAGATTTAAAAATTGGAAATTGGATAGTTAAGTAAGAAACACTAAAAACGAAGAACGTAGTTTTTATGTTAAAACAATAGTTTAATTGAATATAATTGATATCTAAAACGAAAGGTGTTATTGTAGAATTACAACTCCATTTTACAGAATAGCAATTATTGGAAATTAACAAATAAGTACAAAAGGCTTGGGATTGAATTTTTAAATTGAATTTATCCCAAGTTCTTAACTTCAATATGAAGTACTTAATCGTAAATAGTAACACATACATTTTTATTGTAGCATGTACCAGTCAAAGAATCCAATTACAAAGATTCACATACATTGAATGGTTAATTTAGAACAAAAATTTGGACTTTTAAAAATTTTTTGTATTAATCAGATATCTTGAGCTATTGGGTATGAAAATGGCACTAACTCGAAGTAAACTGAATCGTCTCTTTAGTCATATAAAATACTATCGATTGTACTACATGTATTTAATGACTTATATAATGTGGTGAGATATGATTGTGTCAGAATTTCCTTAATTAAATAAAAAAAAAAAACTTCACCCTCTTTTTTATATCTCATCTATATTTAAACAATTATATAACTCTATTATGTGCGTGTAGCATTTTTCAAATAATATATTTTTCAAAGTATGTAGTCATGTTCATCCTATTTAAGGATGGGGTTGGACGTATAAGACGGGAATTTACATATCACAATTTAATATTTTCTAAATAGAAAGTAATACTAAATATATAAAAAATAAAAAAAATAATAAGAGTAGGAATAAATACCATATTTTTCATTCCCGTCCCAATTTCTTAACTAATAAAATCATTTTTATTTATGATTTGAGGTGAGACAATTTGAAGGTCTAGCATTTTGCCATCTTAATCTTATTCTCATCCCATACAAAGAAACATTACTGTTAAGCCTCCTCTACTGAGATTCCATTTCACTTCCACTTGGAAACCAAAATAGGCCCACACCCTACATCGTTACTTGCCTGTCCGTAGTGCTACGTCGAGGTGATGGATCACTTCATTCAGTGTACCTTTGGGACGACCTCCTAGGACTGGGATGCGGTGTCATGTCTGCCCGTGAAAGCGTTCGGAGTGATTGATTAAAATATAACGAAGCATTTTGCATTCCACTTCGTCCAATTAAATATTTGGAGCAAATCTTATGATTGATTGATTTGATGTGACGTCCCGATGCCAAATGGTCAAATCAAACATTTCAGAAAGCATTAATGACCGTATTAAATGTCTGTCAACCTATGATTGATAGATTGAACTTAGGAGGAAACACGTGATGCTCCTGCCATCAGATATGTTCATGTACATCCACATCCAACAATTAGTATCTTACCTTCATCACTACATACCGTGCCATATAGAGGTAATGAAACTTTGACACTTCGAGTATCAAATGTAACTATACTCCCCCTTTCATATATTTTTATAGCATATACACCTTTGTGTGCCCGATGTCCTCCACCCCTTATTCTATCGTTGTCGACTGACTTAATTGTAGTAGTGCTCGCGATCGCCTCTACACCATCGAAAAAGATTATGGGTGACTAATAGTTCGTCCAAGTGAGTAGGAGAATACTTGCATGGAACTAAGATTTGTTGTCCATGCAATCTACACAGAAAAGAGATCAACAATTACTATTCTTTCATTTTGTATCAAACAATAAGAACGAACAATTTAATATAGGCTCTGTTGTAACAGTGTTCTTTTTCGAGAATGTTTGGTTAAAAGTAAAGAACAATTTTAAATTTAAATGTAAAATTATTTTATTAAAAAAATATAAAATTAAAAATAAGTTTGATTTTTTTTTTTTTTTTTTTTTGGGATTTTCTCCAATAAATTCCAAATCTTGGTATATATCTAGGGATGTCAAATGGGTCGAGCGGCTAATCAGTTCGATCGCTCAACTCGTCAAAATTCGGTTCGTGGGTGGCCCGAGCTTGTCAAATGATGAGCCCGAGTTGAGCAGGGGCTTAGTCTCACGAGCTGAGCCTACTCGACTCGCCTAGGTCTCGTCAAAAAATATGAATTTTTTTAAAAAAAATGTTCAAAATGTGCAAATTTACAAAAAAAAAATAATAATAATAAATAAAAATTAAAAAAATCAAGAGCTCGCTCGCTCGTGGGCTCTGCTCAACTTGGCCTGCGAGTTGTGACTTGTGAGATCACGATCTTGTGGGTCGAGTTCGAGCAACGAGTCGAGCTCGTGGATTAAAGGGTCGAGCTGGCTCGGTGGCCCATTGCCATCACTAACATCCCACACGAAGGGCATTATTGGCACATGAAATTCGACTCCCGTTTACGGATTCACATTGTATGTTCGCTCTGCGTTTGACATTTAACAGAACACGAAACCCATAAACTGAAAGAGAGGAGAGGAATAACCAAGGAGAAAAATACGAAAGTACATTTTCCATTTCTCTGGGAAAAAGGAAAAGTTGCAGGGGGGATTTTGGTTTTCCGGCCCCTCTTTTAATCTTAATATAATATATACATTGTTATATTAATATACATATACGCATAGGAGGGGACTATGCGATTTATTGAATTTATATTAAGATTAAGGGCCACCATTACAACCTCTGTAACGCTTCCATTTTGATTCTAAACCCTCATTCTCATTTCTCACCATTGTTACAGAGGAAAAGAGTATTTTTTGGTGGGGAAATTGTGTGTTGATGTTATATGCATGCATTGTATTTACGTTATTGGAGGAAATATCTGATGTTTTTTCCGGCATTTGTTGTCATTTGAAGAGAAATATTGAGTTCTAACAGCTTCTAATATCAGAAATGGTATTGAATTCTCGCTTTTTATTTATTTATTTTCTTTTTTTGTTTTATTGAGTGGTTTGGGTTAAATGTGGAAGTTAATATGAATATATACAACATAATTCGGAGAGTAGTTTTGTAGGGCTTTTGAATATGTGAGAAAGCTGAGAGCTTGGAATATTTACAAATTGTTTTGACTATGGTATGTGTAGAGCTAAATATCATCCACATTATGATGAGTTTTTAAACCTTTTGATGAGTTTTTTGAATATGTAACAGGTTAAAGCTTGCAGTATTAGTATGAGCATAAATTACAAATTTAGATTCGAACTTATGATAATATTGTGAAATTTTATTATATGACTGGTGTAGTTTTAAAATTATTTATTCTTTTGATGATTTTGTAATTTTTCTCTCTGATATTATAAATCTGAAGCTGTTATGGACAATCTAGGCGAATATATTTATAGTGGTGTTTCTTTATTTTCATATTCCTGAGTTTGTCAGTGAAGTCTTTATATGGAAATTGGAGCTGTAAAACCCCCCCAGTGACTAAGGCAAACAACGTAGAAAAACCACTCATTTCTCATTCTTGAACTGATTTCTGTTTCTAGTGGCAAATTTTTAAGTTTTATGGATATGGGAATATCACAATGATATGTGTGTAATATCACAAAGTATTGATTAGGGAAACTTATTGGTGAATTATTAATGAAGTGCAACAAGTACAGGCTTCAGCAATCACATTGGTAGAGAGCTTTTGGCAACAAAAAGTAATAGTCATTGAAAACATTTTCTTGAGATCAAGGGCAATGCAGGTGAATAAACTGGCCTGATTATTAAGATAAGTTCATACTGAAATGTCCAAGGAAAATTGAAAACGCTACTTTGAAACGAGGACTTCCCTAGCTAGTTTAAAGTAAAAAAGAGAGTTTTAAAGTTTTTTTTGTTTTCACTTCTTATAAGAGTGGGTGCTAGTTAGTCAAGTTTGAGGTATTTTTTATTATTACTGAAAATTCTAGGTATGGAATGCAATACACTACTGTGTTTACAATGTTCTGCATAATTTCCTTAATAGAAAATGTAATGTACTGACAATTTCACCTCATTCAGACTGTTTCAGCCAGTATAGTGGTTGGTTCTCAAGTATGGGTGGAGGATTCTGAGGTAGCTTGGATAGATGGGGAAGCTGTGGAAGTCAACGATGAAGAGGTTAAAGTGATTTGTTCCTCAGGGAAGACAGTAAGTATTTCTTATTTGGGTTTCTATTAACAGTTACATTAAAAATGTGGTTATGGTTATTATGATTATTGCAGACACATTCACTATTCCCTTTTAATTTTCCATTTGCTTTTTGCTGGCTGCTTTCTTCTTTTGTCAATTTTAAGTTCCCCATAAAGGATGATAAAAACGTTAACTGACTGTTTGTTGGTATTCATTGCTTAGCATATGTCAATCCATCATAGTTTCCCTTGCTCGTCTTTTTCTTTTTTCAGGGGTGGGGTTGAGGGTTTAGCGTAACCAGATATTATACCTGGCGACCTGGAACATTAAGTATCCTCTAGCTAGCTTGATATATGTGCATGCTCAAATGGTTTTAAGCTATCTCAGCCATATTCTACCCTGAGGGATTTAGTGCATGCAACACCCAATGGGACAACTGGGTAGACACAGGAATTTATCATATTTAATTAAGTAGAGCCTCCAAGCCATAGTTGTTCACATGTTGATACTCCCTCTGTCCCATATACTTTCTTTCCTTATTAATGCGTCCCAAATTATAGTCTTGTTTCCTGGTTGAGAGTATAGTTGATTTCTTAGCTTCTTAATATGCCTCTATCTAATTTGTGTTGTTATCACAAATATGAACTACCCAATATTCAATTTTAGTTGGAATAATAAATAAAACACCAAAAAATGCACATTCCTAACAACTTGTTGACATTATCAATTTGATTTTTTATTTGATTTATTTATTTATTTATTTGGATCAATATTTTAGGGTTGCCAAGATTGGCAATTTCATTACTCTCATGTTAGCCAAGTTTGACGTTAATTACATTGAACTTCCATTAAAGAATGATCATTTCCAAATTTAATATTTCATGGCCATCTAGGTTTAATAGAGTAATGAGTCAGATATTAATGTAGGGGTACATTAGAAAAAACAAAGTAAAATTTATTGTTTAGCCTATTTTTAGGGAAGGAGGCAGTGTATTTTTTAAATAATGCTGAGTGAACATTCTTTGGTTTACATCTTTGTGCACTCCATTAAAATTCAAAAAGTGTTGGACAGGAACTGTGTTCTATTACAAAATTGTCCAATCATGTGTCTTCACGTGGCACAATGTCCAAAATGATGTAAAAAAGATGTTCATGTAGCATGATTGATATTTTTTAGTTTGGTCTATTTGAGGCTCAGTTCCCATGTGATTGGATCTAAGACAAGGATTACTTCAAACATATGCAATCCCATAGAGGTTGAAATTTCATGGGTGTGAAATCTTAGAAACGCACAATTTTAAATTCTATTTTAGTTTTTCTTGTGATTGGAACTTTTCCAATGTTGAACAAGTTTACATGTATAAATTTATATTTTTCTGTCACTTGATTTTTGTCATGCTCCACATAATTTTTCTGTAATATTCTAGTGTTTCGACTGTTCTTACTTTTCTGTGACTATTTTTTTATTTTAGAAGATTGAAGAAAATCACAATTCCCATGGGCTTTGCCTATTAGAGTGAAAAGAAAACTCGTCTCTCACCTTTATCTTTTAAATAATTGTTTATCTGCATATTTTATTGTTACAAATGGTGCTCATCTGACAATCTTTACAAAGAAGTCGCATTTATTTATTTTCTTTAAAGCAACTATACATAATTCTTAGTTTGATCATCATGTTTTATGATTGAAATCATGTTGCATTCAGTCTGTTGAGTTTCATTCAGTCCTTTTAGTTATTACTGCAATATGTCATTTAAATGGAGTCTCAACGTTTGTACTGGTTTGTAGATTACAGTAAGGGGTCAATTTATCTATTGAGAGAGTATCTTGAAATTATGAAATCTCTTAGATTTTTTATGTTATCTTCACTTTGCAGGCTGTAGCTAATATAGCCAATGTATACCCTAAAGATCCCGAGGCTCCTCCATGTGGCGTGGATGACATGACTAAGCTTTCTTACCTGCATGAACCAGGCGTTCTTCAGAATTTGAAATCTCGATATGATATGAATGAAATATATGTGAGTACTGCTGCATCTTGTGTACATTTTAAGAGATGATTGAGTTTTTTGTCACTTTGTCTCTCTATCTCTACCCTTCCCTTCTTGCTTCACACAATTTTCTCATCTTATTTATTATATGAACCCATGTCTTTTATTTTTAAATCCTTCCGAAGACATTGTTTCAACCTGCCATTAGATTGTGCATATATTACATATATTTTCTTGATACCTGTGTTACATTGCCAACCCATGAAGCTAACATAACTAGGGATGTTTATTTAATCGTTATTTTAAAATATTTCTTAATGTTGCTATGTGTATCAGAAACTTTGATCTTTACAAGTTATTATTTCTTCTGGATTTTGTGACAAGACCGATTGAATCTGAAATCAAAAGTGGTGTTTACAGACCTACACAGGTAACATATTGATAGCTGTGAACCCTTTTCAGCAGTTACCTCATCTATACAATAATGATGTGATGGAACAATACAAAGGAATGGCAATTGGGGAGCTTAGCCCGCACCCTTTTGCTATCGCAGATGCTGCTTACAGGCATTTTTTCCTCATGTTTTATTTATTCTTTTCAGGATGTCTAAGTATTAAGGGTGCGTTCCCTTTGGCGTTTTCAGGCCATTTTCCGTTTTCCATTTTCTAAAAAATCGAAAACGCGTTTGGTCAACTATTTTCGAAAACGCATTTCTGAAAACAATGGAAAATTTAACAAAGAAAACCCAAAACGACTTTTTGGGATTTTGAGTGTTTACAGTTGAAAATAGCCAAAACATGGAAAACACTCAAAACGCGGCATTTCCTCTTCACTGTTCATCTCCATTGTTCCTCTCTCGGTCTCTCCTTCTACTCGTTTTTCCGGCCGCCAAACCACCACCTTCCGGTTGCCAAACCACCGGATGCAACCACCATCAGCCTCGCCTCCTTCCCCTCTACAATCTCCAACCAACCACCAGCCACAAACCAACACGAAGCAATAGAAAATCCAGCCCAAAAAATGAAATTTCGCAACCCCTTTTCCGCCGGAATATCCACCTCCAGCGACGCCCAAGGTCGTGCACCACCAACACTCAATAGCCCTCATCTAGGCGATCAATATCATGTCCAAACATCAACCAATAATGCACCAATTTGTTCTAATGTGAATCAATCAAACATGGCAGTCGCAAACCAAACCTGTTTGCTTCGATTTGTGTTTCTGGCGATTGGCATCGGTCGATTGGCGACAATCCAGTATTAAGTATGTCCCTACAACCATGGGTAACACTTTAATTTCATCAATTCATGCAGAAATCGTCTTCGGAATGGGAGTTTTCGGCCGTTCTAATACCTCGCGACTGGCTTCTTTTGAGCAGAAATTCTAGCTTGTTCGGCCGGAGTTAGGGCCAGCTATTGGGTCGGGTGTGTAGATGACTTTGTGGGCTTCAAGTTGGTGCTATGTTCCAGTGGCCATGGTGGCCGGAAAGTGGTGTTTTGGAGGTGGCGGTATTGAGAGTGAAAGAGAGAACCGGAATGGGAGTTTTCAAAATTTTTTGAACCAAACACGTTTTCTAATTTTTCGTTTTGAGAAATTGTTTTTCAAAATGACAAACCAAACGTGTTTTTCATAATCTCAAAATGAGGCCTCAAAACAGAAAATGGAAAATGATCTCAAAATTGAAAATAGAAAACAGAAACGCAAAGCGAACACCCCCTAATTATTTGTACTCTGTTAAAGGTCATTTCCGAAAAGTGCACTTCTGATGCAGGCAAATGATCAATGAGGGTTTAAGCCAATCGATTTTGGTCAGTGGAGAGAGTGGAGCTGGAAAAACTGAAAGCACTAAGATGCTTATGGGTTATCTTGCCCATATGGGTGGCAGAGCTGGAAATGAGCTACGGTCTGTGGAGCAGCAAGTCCTTGAGGTTTGCGTCATTAAATTTAATTTTTTTGTTACTTAGTTGCAATATAATTTTTCTAG